GAAAGAGGAATAGGGTGAAACACTGCTTCCAAGTCACAATCTAAGTTTATTTTATTTTATTTTATTTTATTATTTTATTTTATTTTAATTTAATTTAATTTATTTTATTTATTTTGAGAGAGACAGAGATAGCATGAGTGTGGGATGGCCAGAGAAAAAGGAAGAGAGAGAATCCCAAGCAGGCTCCACACTGTCAGTGCAGAACCCAACACAGGGCTTGAACTCATGAAACAGCAAGATCATGACCTGAGCCGAAACCAAGAGTATGACGCTTAACTGACTGAGCCACCCAGGCGCCCTTGTAAGTTGATTTTAAATGATTTATCTCCTGGCCTTCCTTCATGTAAGCCATTTTTCCAGTTATTTTATGATTGTACTTTGAATTGCATTTTAACCATATTTTCCTAAGAACAAATGTTATGCAACATTGCCCGAAAGGCATCAGGGATTTTCTCCCCTTTCCCCACATTACAGTTAAGTCATTGTGTAAAGTATTGTTAGAATTTGGGAAACTTCTAGCTCAGGATCATGTTCAAATGACAATCAGGAGCAAGCTGCCTCCCTAGACAATGAGTCTTGCTCATAACAACAACAGGCTGTCTTCTCATCTAGAATATCCTCCCTTCCCTGTGATGTTCCCCCTCTATCCCAGCCATCCCTCAAGGCCCAGCCCCAACCTCCATAGCTGAGCAGAGAAAGCTCCGATCACCCATCCAGACACCCCAGCTCCCACATCTGTGCCACTCACACTGCACGTACTTTCTGCCTTTTTTGGTAGTGATTTGTGCTCGTGCCTGACTACAATTTAAGACTGGTAGCTTCTGGCAGCCGCAGACTGTTACTCATTTTCCTCAGTGCTTATCCACCATGGTGTCCTGCTTCTGAGAAGTGCTGAAAATATGTTAACTGAATAATGCATAAATAAACGCATTCACTGCTCCCCTAAGTGACTAGCACTCTTGCCATGGAGCTAATATTCTCTCTTGTCTTTGAGATTCTCCAGTGTTTCAAGCAATATATATCTTTCTTCCAAGGAGGACAGTGCATTTATTTTGTGTATCCAATTTTGACAGAACCAAAGTATGGTCTTATAATGTCGTCGATTTTTATCATATACTGCTAATTTCTCTTTTTTTACTTTATATTTTTAAATATAATTTATTGTCAAATTGGCTTACATACAACACCCAGTGCTCCTCCCAAGTGCCCTCCTCAATGCCCATCACCCACTTTCCTATTTAAAGGAATATGTTTGCCACACTGATGAAAAAAAGAGAAGGCTATAGCACAAGAGGTGCTCAATAAGTAAGTCTTAAGTGAATGAATGAATGAATGAATGAGTGATAATAGGAAATCAGATAAAAATAGAAACAGAAAGAAGAGTAGAAAAAGAATAGATGCACAGGAGATTTAGAAAGGAAGTAGAAAGAGAGGATAAAGGGAAAGGAGACTCAAGAGTAATTAAATTCCCAATTAGCAATTCTGGTTTTACTATAAACTTGAACTTGGTTAATTAATTAATTAATTTATTATTTATTTATTTTAAAAGATTTTTAAAAATGTTTATTTGTTTTTGAGAGAGAGAGAGAGACCATGAACAGGGGAGGGTGGAGAGAGAGGGAGACACAGAATCCAAAGGTGGCTCCAGGCTCTGAGCTGTCAGCACAGAGCCTGATGAATGGCTCGAACTCACCAACTGCAAGATCATTCCCTGAGCCGAAGTTGGATGCTTAACCGACTGAGACACCCAGGAGCCCCTTGAACTTGATAATTTAACAAGTAGAGAGGAGAGCCACTGTAGCAAGAGTTATATGTCAATATATTTTATTACTGGTCATGTTGATCTGGAGCACTTACTTAAGGTTACGTGTATACTGGGTGTCTCCACTGTTCTATTTCCCTTTTGAAATTAATAAATATTTTATGGAGAGATACTTTTAATTTTTAGTTATTTAGTTATTTCTTTAAGTAATCTCTACAGCTAACATGGGGCTTGAACTCACGACCCAAGATTAAGAGTTAAGTGCTCTTCCTATTGAGCCAGCTGGGCACCCATTGTGAAGAGATACTTTTAGGCTAAGCCAGTATCTTGTTTCTCATCATAATTTTGCCCAGTAATATTAGCATTCATCAGTGCTTCTTGCTTGTAGCAATTTATTGCTGGGGGATCCTAATGGTGATTTCCTATTTTTCTCATCCTGCCACATTTATTAATTGATTCTTTTATAATTAAGAGCTACTGCTCCCCTCCTATTATTTTAGCTATTCATTTATTTATATCAGTATGGACTCATAAATACTTATTCTATGAATCATAACCCAATACTATCATTATTTATTTTGCTATTTAAGCTTTACTTTCTTTGTGAGTCAGGGATAATGACATCCACCTTACACAACCATGATGAGGATTAAATGGGATTTAAAATGTGAAAATGTCTAGTCCAGAGCACCTAGTAAATAAATGCTAGCTCCTTTCCTCCCTTTTCTTTACAGAAGGTAAAGCCACACTACCTTGGAGGCAAGACCCTTCTAACCATGTGAAAATCTGAATTTAAGAATTCTATTTTAATTCTCTTTCTACACTAAGGTATATAAAGCAACTAGAAGTTAGCTAGCCAGTGTTGCCTACTGGAGGTTTTTTCTCATCTGCCTGTAGTGACCATACATAGGACTGATTTTTAATCAGCATACTCATAATTTGTATGAAAATAGATGCTTGAGAATACTTGAAAACAGACTGTTCTCTTAAGTAGTTTAAGTGTTTTCCCAGAAATCTTGTTTATGTTCTGAAGTTGCTTAGCTAAACTATTTTCAGAGATAGTCCAAAGCACGCCTCAACCCAGCTGTGCTTCGTATCATCACTAAATCTGAATTAGCGAAATCACTGATTCATCTTTGATTCCCAAGGTTATGGGAGTGAATGGAAGAAACTGAAGTTTTCTTTCTCCAAAATTAATTTAAAATTAGACTTTAAAAGTTCAGGCAAAGCAAACTTCAGGTAGAATTAGAACGACAACGAAAACAACAACGGACAAGGATAAGGTCCTAAGGCCGTGAGAGTGAGTAGATCTGGAAGTTTAAAGCAATACACAAAATACAGTAAAATCTACTAATAAAACACTCAATTTACTGGAACTTCCATTTTCCACCCTGTGTTTATCAGTAGGGAAAATCAAGAACATCAGGAGATTTATTTTAAAAAGCGATTTAGGGGCAGTGTGGTTCACAGGCTCTCAAGTAGACACCCAGAGTCTACTTACTTGCTTTGGGGTGGGATCAAGTGCCACCCCTCCACGTGAGCCTGGAACAGGTAGTGTAGTGGTTCACAGCCCAGGATCTGGGGCCTGATGATGTAGGTCTGGATATCACTATTGTCATCGACCACCTATGTAACTTCGGGCAAATGACTTCATGTCCTGGTGCCCCAGTGTCCCCATTGGTAATATGGGGCTAATGAGAGTATCTGTCTCCCAGGGTTGTTGGGAGGAGCAAATAAATGGTACGTGTAAAATGATGAGCATGACAATGCCAGACGGTATCAGCAATTCCTGAGGATAACAGATCTCCTTTTGAGGAATGCTGTTTGGGGCATGTCTGGACACAGAATTGCCTGGACTCAGCCTCTAACACTTTCTGCATCCACTGGGCCTTATCACGGTCACTGACATTTACCACCATCATTGGAGTCATGATCGGCAGGCTGTGGAGGCTGTGAGGTGAGCTGCCGCAGTTGGAAAGGCTTTAAGTAACAAAGTCTGACTGGTCTTCTGTCCATCAGAGATATATGGGACACAGATCAGGGGCAACCTCAGCATTTTAGTAGTTTACTGGATTACTAAATTAAACTATTTGTGGAGTTAAGCCAATCAACAAACGCAGATGGAAATTTTGTGTTTTAACATTCAAAGAAAAAGAAATTAAGCCTAAAAGAAATAAAATGTAGGGGCGCCTGGGTGGCGCAGTCGGTTAAGCGTCCGACTTCAGCCAGGTCACGATCTCACGGTCCGTGAGTTCGAGCCCCGCATCGGGCTCTGGGCTGATGGCTCAGAGCCTGGAGCCTGTTTCCGATTCTGTGTCTCCCTCTCTCTCTGCCCCTCCCCTGTTCATGCTCTGTCTCTCTCTGTCCCAAAAATAAATAAACGTTGAAAAAAAATTAAAAAAAAAAAAAAAAAAAAGAAAGAAAATGTAGAACAGAAAACTCTGGGTGTGGGGTTATATGGGGAAAGAAAATGTTCTGTAAGCCTAAGAGCACAGCATCCCCTGGTCCCGGCACTAGATGGAGACCTGCCTTTCCTTCCTTGGTCCAGGACCACACCATGTCAACCATTGGCTCTTTTCCACTCAGCCAGCAGCCCCTACACCTCTCACAGTGTCTTCTGCTCAAGTGTTCCAGTATTTCCAGTCTCTGGTCAAAACTGTTCTCACCAGCTCTGGGTTCTGGTAAGGTCTCAGAGGCTTTGGAGGGACTTTCTGGGGCTGAGGATTTTGATGGCATGCAGGGAACAGGAGTGGGGTGATTGATTGCCTCTCAAATCCACATTTGTCCCCATGCTCCTGACCCAGGTGTGTTGGTTTTTAAATTTCTGCATAGAAGCCCTGATAGTCGAAGAAGGGGTGGGCTAGACAGATCCATGGCCAGAGATCACACTGTCAAAGATATGTGGTTTTAAAAGCACTTGTAGGAACAATGAGGAGAATATTGGAAAATGGGCCCAGGGAGAGTATTTTGGACTGGTTGTCCAAAGGGAGAAGGCCCATGGACTTGGTGGAGATAGGATCAGTTAGGCCAAGGGCAGGTTGGAGGGAAGTGACAGGGAGGGTGACAATGTGTTGTTGATCTCATTGCTTGGAAAGAAAGCAGCCACCATGGAAGTCACAAGACCAACAGGTAGATGAGACACCAATAACAGACAAACCTAAAAGGAGAAATACGTTTAAAAATCACTTACTAGCAATTGAATCACCACATCTCCAAGTGGCTTCTTACCTCATTAAATCTCATCACAAGATCTTCCAGGGCATTGTGTTCTCCGTTCTGGGAGTTAAGAATTGATGCTGAGATGGACGCTTTGAGGCAGGGCAGGGATGTCTGGCATTCTGGAGAGCCCAAGTCCCGGGTCAAGAAGCAAAGGTAGTCAACTGGCAAGACCCTTCGGTAAATGTTCTGCTCCTGCTCCATCAGGATGCTGGCGACTTCCTCTGGGAACTGAATGAGGGGCTGCAGATCAATCAGCTCCTTGCTGATCCCAGCTGAACTTGAAGGGAGGGCACTAGAATTGGCCATGGAGGTGCCTGGCTGACGTTCTGAAATAAAGCAATGAAAGTTGTGGTGACACCAAGGTTGATATCCTTACAACAGATGTTTACTTGAGAGCCACTAGAAATCTTACAGGTTTCTTAAGCAAGTTTCTGCTTGGTGAATAGTTCTATACTATCTTGTTATGGAGACCCTTCTGATAACTGTCCTGCCTGCTTGCTCCTGCCCCCTGTGGGTGGGGAAATGCTCAGTTTCCCATTTTCAGAAGTGGAATTGGTCTCACACACCATTCTCTAATTCACTGTGACACTTTGCAGAGTAGTAGGGAAGGAAAAGGTACCATTTGTTTCCTCATCCACCAGTGCTAACCACCAGAGTAAAAAGAAATGAGGGTGGGTGTGGGCACAGGAACTGAGATGGAAGAGGAAAGAAGGCTGGAGGGGAAGAGGCATGTACATGTATGTATGCGTACCCTGTGTGTAAACACCCAGGAGTCCCCGGGGACTCTCTGCACACAAGGTTCAAAGCTTCAGTCTACCTGCCAACCTTCCACCCTCAAAGACTGATTCCACTGAGAACCATTTGGAGGTTTGCAGGGACAGAATCACTTGTAAAAGTAAGGGAGGAATAGGTAATAAGGAGATGTATCTACATAAATAGAACAAATAAATAATAGATTGCCTCTCAAACCCACATTTGTCCCCATGCTCCCGACACAGGTGTGCTGGTTTTTAAATTTCTGCTTAGAAGCCATGATAATGGAAGTATCCACAAGTGGCAGTAAGAAACTGGTGAGGGAGGGAGAGCAGCCAGTGCATTAGACATAAGAACCAAATGCCTTCATAGGCTCCAAATTATTCCCTTAGCACAAATTCACTTTATTTTGACCACTCTCCCTATCTCTTTTTTTTTTTAATTTTTTTAACGTTTATTTATTTTTGAGACAGAGAGAGACAGAGCATGAATGGGGGAAGGGCAGAGAGAGGGAGACACAGAATCCGAAATGGGCTCCAGGCTCTGAGCTGTCAGCACAGAGCCCGACGAGGGGCTTGAACTCACGGACCTCGAGATCGTGACCTGAGCCGAAGTCGGACGTTCAACCTACTGAGCCACCCAGGCGCCCCTCCCTATCTGTCTCTTAATTTCCTGCCTACAAGTCATTCATTCATTCATTCATTCATTCATTCATCTACTTAACCAACCATCCATCCATCCATCCACCCATGTAAAAAGCTATTCAAAAACCTATGATGAGCACTAGAACAGAACGTCCCAAGTATGATCAGTTTTGTGGCTAAGTTGGGGAAATGTCATGTATTCATGTCACAAATCCTCTTCCTGGAAACACGAGGCACACAGGTACACTGTTAAAGGCTCTAAGGGGTCTTGCAGTAAAGAAATCCATTTACATTGCTTAATCCAGTGCTTCCCCAGAGTCACATTTTACATGTCACACCTACTAAGCCACTCTGTGTAGACCAGAGCTGCTGGGAGCCCCTCAGGAAACGTTGATCTGCGTGCAGGCCAAACTGCTCCTACTCCTCATCCAGTTCACACCTTTTCCTTCCCAGAGGTCCCTTCCTGGCCAGCTCCTCTTCATGCTTCTTATAGTGGTTCATGAGGGGACCACATTTTATTTCCCCAGAATCTTTCTTACATTCCCGATTTCTTAAAACAGCCTTATTGGCCCTTTGGCAGAATAAAGCCCTTCAGATGGCATGGCATTCCTCATTGCCGGCGGTCATCTGGCTTGGACACTGGACAATGGTAAAGTTCATGAGGAGGACTTTGTCCAGGCGCCTGGGTGGCTCAGTCAGTTAAGTGACTCTGGATTTTGCCTCATGTCATGATCTCATGGTTTGTGAATTCAAGCCCTGAGTTGGGCTCTGCACTGGCAATGCAGAGCCTGCTTGTGATTCTCTCTCTCTGCCTCTCTCTCTGCCCCTCCCCTACTCTCTCTCTCTCTCTCTCTCTCTCTCAAAATAAACAAATAAAGTTGAAAAAAAAAGTGAAAAAGGAAGGCTTCGTCAACATTCAAACCTTAGCATCCTTGACTCTTTTTAAAATCTCTATTGTTGACAGCCTTGGAATCATCACTCCAAAGTGCTCCATCCCTGTAGTACTGAACCCTGAAGTCCTTGGCCTTGAATCTGACTGCTTTTCCCTTCTTCCCTTTCTACTAAACCTTCTTTGTCTTTGGCAGACTTCCAGTTCCCGGCCTTAGTCTGGGTGCAACCTTAGAGTTTTAACATGGCGCCCACAACACCCAAGATGCCCTCCCGAGTCACCTTGACTTTCCACCACGTACTTACTTCCCAATCCTCAATGTTTGGCAAACTCGACCATGCATAATTGGCTTCTGGGCTGCTATATGATGACAATGACATTGATGTTACTTGGTGATGGGATGCTTGCTAATTTATGTTACCTAACTTCAGCTGGGCTCTCAGGGCAGTTTCAGACTTGACATGAATTTTTAAATTTTTTTCCTAAATAACTCTGTCCTCTTTACCTCTGCAGTAGAGCTGTTCTATTCTTCTGACACTCCCAAACCCACCTGTATTTTCCTTATATTTATTTATTTCTTTTTTTTTTTTTTCAACGTTTATTTATTTTTGGGACAGGGAGAGACAGAGCATGAACGGGGGAGGGGCAGAGAGAGAGGGAGACACAGAATCGGAAACAGGCTCCAGGCTCCGAGCCATCAGCCCAGAACCCGACGCGGGGCTCGAACTCACGGACCGCGAGATCGTGACCTGGCTGAAGTCGGACGCTTAACCGACTGCGCCACCCAGGCGCCCCTATATTTATTTATTTCTTAAAAAAATTTTTTTTGAGTGTAGTTGACACACAATGTTACATTAGTTTCAGGTGTACAACACAGTGATTTGACAAGTTTGAATACTATGCTGTGCTCACCACAAGCGTAGCTACCACATTTGATACCTACTACATGTTTATACACTATGATAACTGCCAAGTGTCAGGGACTACTTCTGTGAATTCAAATGGCCCTATTTCTTACGTTTCTCCTCCTTCTCTGAGAAAGGTCTGTACTTCCTCCTCCCCAAGGCCCACCTAGGTTTGTGAGTAAGTTTATTCAACTTGCCTCTGTGGTTATGTCCACCATCAGTCCCTTTCTTTCCACGGATTCTTTTTTGCTTACACAAGTGTTCAGTTTCCTTTACCCTTAAAAACAAACTAATAAAACTTCCCTTCTCTCTTAAAGTCCACATCTTCTCTAGCCTTCCCTTCATTGTGTACCTTCTGGGAAGGGCACTGTACTTTCCTCTGTAAGTATGGTGACCATATCTTCTGATCCAAAAGTAGGCCATACCGTCTGCCCAAATTAATAAATCTGTAATGATGTGGGAGAGAAAGACATAAACCAGGTCTGCCCTGGGAGCTCCTAGTTCGTAGACCACCCCGTTGACAGGGCATCTCTGTTGATGGTCTGGGCTCTGCCATTCTTCTCTTGACCCATCCTGTCCCATGCAGCTCAGCCACCACCTCTGAAGCATAGCTCAGGAAAAGTTCTTGGTGATACTTGCTATTTAATTAAGTTGCTCCCCTTTTGCAAGAGTGCTCTCAGTGACAATCTAACAAAAATTGTGAGGAGAAAACTTTAAAGTTTGAACTACACTGCTCTCCACTGATCTCCTGATCCTATTTTGAATATATTCCAGTAAGAACTTTCTGTTTTGTCTTCTGTATAAAAACTGTAGTATCCAAATTATTGTTTCTCTTTGATTCTAAAAGGCAAACGGGTGACTAAGGAATACAATGATTTATTGTAGCCATTTTTATCCGTCTTTTGGACCAACCTGCCAAAAATCAACTACAGTGGAAAGTAAGGGATACCAAATTATATTTGGTTCTCTCTAAGCTCTTATTTGAAATTAATTAAAATACAGCAAGTGTCCAAATCTACATGGCCCACATGGCTTTGCTCTCCAACTTTCTGAATGCTTTAGAAAGAACTGGATTTCCTGAAAATTGAGTCAGAATGTGGCCTGATGACAAGCAGACAGCAGCTTCTGGATATTGATAATTTATGTACAGTGGAATTAGCCATATATGGGAAGTCTTCCCAGAAGTAACCAACTCTGAAACATGATTTCAAAGTATAACACTCTGTGAAAGAAAAGGAGCTCCTATATCTTGTGAAATCACTTATCTAATATGTAAGAGAAAATTTAATAAACTATACAAATGATGTAAGATAATATATTATAAATGCAATATATCTTGAGATAGGAATCACATGCTCTGATGAATAGAGTCTGCTGGCTGGTGAGAAAGAGCAATAAAGGAGACCTAAAAAAATTGAATGAAAGAAGAAAAAGACGCCTGGTCATTGTAACCCCAATAAATGCCATGGCCCCAGGTGTCTCAGTATAAACATAACATCACACTCAAAGGAAACACAAATCTGATGTTAGAATCCTAGAAACATAATGTAGACCTTTCGTGTAGGTTTCCTTAAAGCAGAAGTACTCAGGGTTTTACATCATGCCCCATGAAGACACATCCCAGAAATCTTGGGACATAATTTTCTGTCCCACAATTTCCACACTTTTAGCAGCTGTTAGAAACTTTCCACTTTTTCTCATTCTTGCTGAGCTCTCCGTATAACCTTGCCTTTCACATGCCACATGGCCCCAGCTCCCAGCTCTAAGTCATCCTCACACTACCCCCCTGCCAATCGTCTGCAAGATGGACAACTCTACAATGGATGAAAAACCCAGGGCTCCATGACCCTTGATGCTTCCTTATTAATTGTGGAGCAAAATTCATAAAGCCCCCTGGATGCTACAGTTCTTCTCTTGTGAAAAAAATTTTAGAAAGTTCATGGTGAATAAAATTACGTACCTAATTCACAGTCAATGTTTGCTCGTAGCTCTATGTTCTTCAGTTACTTGCTATCGTAGCTCTATGTTCTTCAGTTACTTGCTATTCTATAGTAGAATAGGGCTGTATCTCTGGACACAGTCCCAACTTGGAAATATTTACCACGAGACCCAGTATCTTCAAATTCTGATTCCCT